TCCACCTAGTATTTTGTATGTTGTTATCCTGTCTCCCCTGACCCTCCTGTTCTCCAGCGTCGTCAGGCCTATTTCCCTCAACCTTTCATCGTAGGACGTTTCCCAGAGCTCCGGAACTACCCTTGTTGCAAACCTTTGCACTTTCTCTAATTTCTTGACGTGCTTGACCAGGTGTGAGTTCCAAACTGGTGCTGCATATTCCAGTATGTGCCTGATGTGTGTGTGTACCTGTGTATACTCACCTATTTGTGGTTGCAAGACCCGATTCACAGCTCCTGACCCCGCCTCTTCGCTGGTCACTGCTAGGTCCACTCTCTCCTTCCATGAGCTATGTATGGATCTTACCTCCACTACATCACTCAACAGATTGTTCCACTTCCTGACAACTCTATGACTGAAGAAATACTTCCTAAAATCACTATGATTTACATGAGCTTTCAACTTCCAGCTGTGACCCCTTGTTCGTGTGTTCCATCTCTGAAACATTCTGTCTCTGTCCACCTTGTCAATTTCTCTCGGTATTTTATACCTCGTTATCACGTTCTTACTATCCCTCCTGTCTTCCAGTGTCGTCAGGTTGATTTCCCGGAGCTAAGAAATTAAGACTAGTCCTTAAACTCCGGGACTAGTCTTGTTGCAATCCTTTGCATTTTCTCCAAATTCTTGACGTTCTTGTGTGTGTGTGTGTGTGTGTGTGTGTGTGTGTGTGTGTGTGTGTGTGTGTGTGTGTGTGTGTGTGTGTGTGTGTGTGTGTGTGTACTTACCTAATTGTGGTTGCACGTGTCGATTCATAGCACCTGTGTGTGTGTGTTCTGCTTCTGTCAGACTCTCTCTTTCAGATCTGCAGAAAAGAACCTTCTCAAAGGAGGAAATATGCAAATTTCTCTATCTTGTGTTTCGTATATCATTAATGTCATACATTTAAAATTGTTACCACAATAAAATGATCAGTTGCTCTGTGGTAGAGAGTTCTGCTCATAACCAAAATGCCACTAGTTCAATGCCCTGGCTACTCCAGAAGTATGAGCCAATAAAAGTTAGTAGGCTCCAGAGTGAGCATTATTATGCGCTATTGAAATTGCAATAATAGCTTGGAAGGATTGCTAAATTCTCTAGGTGTTACTCTGGTGTCTCCTGTATTCCATGCACTTGCCAGCCTATACACGACATAATTTCAACTTGTCCCATTTCTCACTTCTGGAATACGTCCTTCCTGGCGTCGCTATGTGCATGACAACTTCATTCTCTGGCCTCATGACTCTCTGTCTTCCACCTTTTTATTAATACTCTTAACATTCTTGCGTCGTTTTTAAACCTTAAAGCTGAATAAGAATCGAATTCCTTGATTCTTTGATATTAATGTTGTTTGCTCTTGTGAGGGGTTTCTGGTCTCCCACAAGCCTTTATACAATGGTAAGTACATTACTTACTAGTTCTGTCACACAGTCTGTTAAGAAAGGTGTTCCTGTCAGTCTTCCTCAGTGCCATCCCCATGTGATCCTGTTTCCTTATCTTGAAAATGCAATTCTTCGCAATTCATACTTTATTCTTGATATCACAATTTCATTCATTTTGCCTAGACGAACCTTGCAATCTAAAAAACTTACTAATACCTTCGTCGTCTGGATATTTAACTCGTTTGTCATCCCTCCTTCCACCTATAATTTCGGTGTTGATTCTAATCCTGCTCTTCTTGTCCTCCTCAATATATTACAAAAGTTTGCAACAAAATTTCTGATTGACTTACAAAACACAAGAGAAACTTTCTCCTTTTCATCAGTAGCAGAGCTTTTTACAGTCATATTAGAGACCATAGCCACCCCATAAACGGGTCATCTGTCCAAGACTATCTGTTGCTATCCTAGTCATCAATAAAGCAGTTTTGTTGAATCGGTTCCTATACACAACATTACAGGACGAGTTTGAGGTAATCAGTCCCATAGCCTTGAGTCGATTTACTCAGACCATCAATCTTGATCGACTGATTACATCGACTCAAGGCTGTGGGACTGATTACTTCAATCTCCTCCTGTTCGTCACTGTTTCTCCTTTTTTTATGGACTGATGAAGCCACTGTGTGGCGAAACGTTTCCTCATTAAATATACCCAAGTGCTGCACCTGTGTCTAATTTATCAACTTGTCGGTTCTCTGAACCATTCATCTACAAATCTACAGATGCTTATGTGTTTACCGACACAGGTAAGTATGAAAGAACATTTAATGATAAATGGGCATATAATCAATCAAGAATCGTGTAAGTTAATGGGGAATATGGAAACGAATTTTTCACCTATACCTAATTTTAGTAGTAGAAAGAAGAATCTCAGGAGAATGACAGACAAAATGTAATTCAAAACTAAGTAACAGCATCCTACTGGAGGAATTTATAACCAGTCCATACCTGGAGCCTAGAGTTTACCTGGAGAGAGTTCCGGGGGTCAACGCCCCCGCGGCCCGGTCTGTGACCAGGCCTCCTGGTGGATCAGAGCCTGATCAACCAGGCTGTTACTGCTGGCTGCACGCAAACCAACGTACGAGCCACAGCCCGGCTGGTCAGGTACCGACTTTAGGTGCTTGTCCAGTGCCAGCTTGAAAGCTGCCAGGGGTCTGTTGGTAATCCCCCTTATGTATGCTGGGAGGCAGTTGAGCAGTCTCGGGCCCCCGACACTTATTGTATGGTCTCTTAACGTGCTAGTGACACCCCTGCTTTTCATTGGGGGGATGTTGCATCGTCTGCCAAGTCTTTTGCTTTTGTAGTGAGTAATTTTCGAGTGCAAGTTCGGTACTAGTCCCTCTAGGATTTTCCAGGTGTGTATAATCATGTATCTCTCCCGCCTGGGTTCAGGAACCTCAAGCGCTCCCAGTAATTGAGGTGTTTTATCTCCGTTAGGCGCGCCGTGAAGGTTCTCTGTACATTTTCTAGGTCAGCAATTTCACCTGCCTTGAAAGGTGCTGCTAGTGTGCAGCAATATTCCAGCCTAGATAGTACAAGTGACCTGAAGAGTGTCATCATGGGCTTGGCATCCCTAGTTTTGAAGGTTCTCATTATCCATCCTGTCATTTTTCTAGCAGATGCGATTGATACAATGTTATGGTCCTTGAAGGTGAGATCCTCCGACATGATCACTCCCAGGTCTTTGACGTTGGTGTTTCGCTCTATTTTGTGGCCAGAATTTGTTTTGTACTCTGATGAAGATTTAATTTCCTCGTGTTTACCATATCAGAGTAATTGAAATTTCTCATCGTTGAACTTCATATTGTTTTCTGCAGCCCACTGAAAGATTTGGTTGATGTCCGCCTGGAGCCTTGCAGTGTCTGCAATGGAAGACACTGTCATGCAGATTCGGGTGTCATCTGCAAAAGAAGACACGGTGCTGTGGCTGACATCCTTGTCTATGTCAGATATGAGGATGAGGAACAAGATGAGAGCTGTGCCTTGTGGAACAGAGCTTTTCACCGTAGCTGCCTCGGACTTTACTCTGTTGACTACTACTCTCTGTGTTCTGTTAGTGAGGAAATTATAGATCCATCTACCAACTTTTCCTGTTATTCCTTTAGCAAGCATTGTGTGCGCTATTACGCCATGGTCACACTTGTCGAAGGCTTTTGCAAAGTCTGTATATATTACATCTGCATTCTTTTTGTCTTCTAGTGCATCTAGGACCTTGTCGTAGTGATCCAATAGTTGAGACAGACAGGAGCGACCTGTTCTAAACCCATGTTGCCCTGGGTTGTGTAATTGATGGGTTTCTAGATTGGTGGTGATCTTGCTTCTTAGGACCCTTTCAAAGATTTTTATGATATGGGATGTTAGTGCTATCGGTCTGTAGTTCTTTGCTATTGCTTTACTGCCCCCTTTGTGGAGTGGGGCTATGTCTGCTGTTTTTAGTAACTGTGGGACGACCCCCGTGTCCATGCTCCCTCTCTATAGGATGTTAAAAGCTCGTGATAGGGGCTTCTTGCAGTTCTTGATGAACACGGAGTTCCATGAGTCTGGCCCTGGGGCAGAGTGCATGGGCATGTCATTTATCGCCTGTTCGAAGTCATTTTGCGTCAGGATAACATCAGATAGGCTTGTGTTAACCAAATTCTGTGTCTCTCTCATAAAAAAATTCATTTTGATCTTCGACTTTGTCTGGTTAGCGGCTTGCTAAAAACTGAGTCATATTGGGACTTGAGTAGCTCACTCATTTCCTTGCTGTCATCTGTGTAGGACCCATCTTGTTTAAGTAGGGGCCCAATACTGGACTTTGTTCTCGACTTTGATTTGGCATAGGAGAAGAAATACTTTGGGTTTCTTTCGATTTCATTTATGGCTTTTAGTTCTTCCCGCGATTCCTGACTCCTATAAGATTCCTTTAGCTTAAGTTCGATGCTTGCTATTTCTCTGACCACTGACTCCCTACGCATTCAGATATATTGACCTCTTTTAGCCGCTCTGTTATTCTTTTCCGTCGCCTGTAAAGGGAGCGCCTGTCTCTTTCTATTTTACATCTACTCCTCCTTTTTCTTAGAGGAATAAGCCTTGAGCATACATCGAGTGCCACCGAGTTAATCTGTTCTAGACATAAGTTGGGGTCTGTGTTGCTTAGTCTATCTTCCTAGCTTATATCGATTAGGGCTTAGTTTACTTGGTCCCACTTTATGTTTTTGTTATTGAAGTTGAATTTGGTGAATGCTCCCTCGTGACTAATCTCATTATATCGGTCTGGGGCTCCGCGCATACATGTCTGAACCTCACTCAAGGTGAAAGTCAAAATTTTAATCCTTCATGGAGTATTATCAAACTTGATTTATAATGGTCCACGACAGCCCGAGGCATCGGTTAGATACGTATTCAACCTGGGCATCAACCTTCTGATAGTCACAGAAATCATTCAAGAAAGAAATGAATGGGCTGATTGTATTTATTTACACGTTTAGAAAGAATCTAAGAGAATTTCCTAAGAAAGGCTAATTTGGAAAATTAACTGGCGTTAATTATCGCTGCGATACTGACCTTCTCGAGGTGTAGCGTGTTAGAGAGGTATTGTCCATCCAGAGCGCCAGCCTCGATGAAGAACCCAGGGGGACTGGCGCTCCCAACAACGTCTCAAAACCCACAACTAACTCCCTAAAAATATTAAAATATTTTAGTATATAATTATATAAATTAAATAATTTTTTATATATAATAAATATATAAAATATATATTATATATATATAAAAATAATTATATATAAAAAATTTTAACAAAAATTAGACCATTTATAATTAATAGAATTTGGGAAGAATTTAAAAATACATTGGACAAATAATAAATTTTAAAATTTTAATTTTTGGGGAGAAATTTTTGTTGTGGGTTGTGAAGGGACCTTCTAGTTGGGCCACGGGCCTGCGCATTTTCCCTTTTATGAGTCGTGACGGTTTGCTTTGTGGGGGAAAAGATATAAATGTGGGCAAACCCCTTTATACCTTCCTTTGATCTTATTCTTTGTTCCTTATAATGTGAGTAGTCACGAAAGCGCTTGGAATTTCCTATTCTTTCACAAGGTTTTTTGCAAATCGAAATCACCTGTTTACTGTATTTTATTGTAATAATAATATATATAAAAATTAAATTAAATAATATATATATATATATATATAAAAATATATCAGTGGAATCACGAAAAAAAGTGATTTTAATTAATTTACCAAACGGGGCGGGCCAGGACTCGACCCTACGAACATTGTACCTCCTCGGAGACAACACAACATACACATCACCTTTACCACTCAACCACCGATCCTACAAAAACCAAGCACCAGCACAGAGTATGGGGTGTTTTCCCTTTGGGTCGAGAAATCGCGGCAGTAGGGGCTGAAAAAATCCTTGAATATCTAAAGATATCCTTGAGATATCTTGACATGTCACATGGGGTTATTAACAGTCGTGCAGAAGGGGCTATAACACTTACCCGTCAGTTTCACAAAATTTAAACAGAGGATAACTGCATATTCTAAACGGAAGGGGTTACTGGTGAAAATTACTTTTTTTTTTATTAAGCGAAAGCTGGAAAAAGAAAGGCAAGGCGATTAAAGGGGCAATTGATGTTCTTTGATACATGGAAAAACGGCCACTCAGCCTCTTGGGAGAGTCCCCCAAACATTGATAATTGTCACTGTTTCATAATTACAGTAAAGTTGAAAAGTAAAGAGAAATCCCAAAATGGAAGGAGTAACCCTTTATTTTACATACTTAAATTTTAGCTAATTTGAACTTTTCTGTCCATATTACTCCCTCTATTTTTTTAAATACTGTTAATTTGATATTACTAAATAAAAATTTAATTACCATTTTTACTACGAAAATTTACTCTAAATTTTTTGACACATTTTTTTACATTACTTGTTTAATTACCATAAACCGTTTGAATACCACATTACATCTTAGAGTACCTTAAATACCTTTGGGTGCAAAAAACCTCTAGTAAAATACCAGTGCAATATTTAAACCAAATAATGTTCTTAAAATTAATACTTAAATAAACATTACTTTTTCATTTATTTTTATTAATTAATCTTTTTTGTAATCATTATTACTTTCTAAAATTTTTTTTAAACACCCAATTTACTACCATCAATTTTACTTTTGTACATTAAAAAATTATTTTATACTTCCCAAAAATTTTGTTGTCAAAATTTTTTTAATTGTATATTTAACTCCAACCTTTTTAAATTTTCCTTTTTACCTGTGTACCTGTGTACCTGTCTACCATCTTTCATCATATTATAACCAAGACATTGCCATTGTTTTTTTTTACTTTTATTCTTTTGGTACTTTTAAATTGTGAATTTTTTTTTTGTCAATTTAAATCTATTATACTCTTGACTTTTTACAGCCTATACCAGACCCTAGTGCAATTTTTCTTTTTAACAACCTTATCAACCCAGGGGAATTGTTCTTGTTAACCTTAAAACCCGACCCAGTTCAATTGTTTTTTTGTTTCAACCATATCAGACCCTAGTGCAAATTTTTCTTGTTAACCATACCGACCCAAATGCAATTTTTTTTCTTTTAACAACCTATATCAACCCAGTGCAAATTGTTTTTGTAACCTATAAACCCCAAACCCCAGGCAATTGTTTTTGTTAACAACCTATACCAACCTGTGCAATTTTTTCTGTTAAAACCAATCAACCCTAGTGCAATTGTTCTTTTTAACAACCTATATCAACCCTAGTGCAATTGTTCTTGTTAACAACCTATACCAACCCTAGTGCAATTGTTCTTTTTAACAACCAAAACCAGACCCTATGCAATTTTCTTGTTAACAAAATACCAGACCTAGGGAAATTTGTTCTTTTTTAAACAACCTATACCAGACCCATGCAATTTTTTTCTTTTTAAACAAACTATCCCAAACCTAGTGCAATTTTTCTTGTTAACAACCTATACCAACCCTAGTGCAATTGTTTTTGTTAACAACCTATCCAGACCCTAGTGCAATTGTTCTTTTTAACAACCAACCAACCCTAGTGAAATTTTTTCTTGTTAACCTATATCAGACCCTAGTGCAATTTTTTCTTGTTAAAAAATATACCAGACCCTATGCAATTGTTCTTGTTAACAACCTAACAGACCCTAGTGAAATTTTTTCTTGTTAACAACCTATACCAACCCTAGTGCAATTGTTTTTGTTAACAACCTAATAAACCCCAGGGAAATTTTTTTTCTTGTTAACAACCTATACCAGACCCTAGTGCAATTGTCTTTTAAAAACCTATACAGACCCTAGTGCAATTCAATACCTTTAAATTTTGTATTTTAAATTTTTATAATTTTATATTAAACCTATTCTAAGTTTATTTTCATATCTTATGACTATTTGTGTGTGAAATTTAGGAATTTAAATTTAAATCATTGTTAAAAGGCCATTAACTATTTTTTTGCTAACAAACCAACTACCTTTAATTTTTTTTTTTATTTTTTTAAAAATGCAATATATTGCTCAACTTTTTTATATAAAACAAATCAGATCTTACTCCAAAAACAATATTATATCATAGTGACTATCGTTTTTTTAATTTTGTTTTACCATTACTTAATTTATCCCAAAATTTTTTTTCCCTTTTTTTTAGCTTTAATAACTACCTTAGTTCATAATTCAATTTTTAAAATAACAAGGTGTTATTCTCAGTGCTAAAGTGTAATAATTCATTATTTTGCCATTATATTCTTTATTTGATTACCACTTTTTTTTTTCCCCACAAATTTTTTTTAGCCCCCTTTTAAAATTGCCTCTTTATTTATCTTAAATAACTCCCTTACTCATTTTTTTTTATTTTTTGTTAAAAAAATTCAGGTGTTTTTTTTATAGCTTTAAATTTTTTACTTTGTCTTATATTTAAGTCTAATTATAGATCCACTAAAATCTTATGACAACAAGCATTGACCTGATCCCAAACCCTTATTAAATACAAAAAATAATCAAACGAAAACGAAATTACACACGCAAACAATCAAAGGCATTTCTCAGACCAACAACAACAAACGTCTTTAACTACAATATCAATTTTTAAAGTAAAATTAAAAGACTTCATAGCATTACTAAATTCCCCTGCATGCCGAAAATTCCCACCATTACTCTCACTAAAACCGGGCTAAACCCTGATACTACAGGTCTTGCTTCCTGGTTACACACCATACACAACTGTAGGCCAACCAAAAAGGGGGTGGCACAGCTATATACTACCAGACCAACTAAATGTATCACTAATATTTGCACAAGGAAACAGGGGAACATATAAAGCTAAATCAAATCCAAATCCTACAAAAACCTCTCACAGTGATAAACATCTACAGATTTTCCACAGTCAAACTTTAGCCATTTTATGAAAACCTGGGAAGTATGATAACTGAGCACCATAACAAAGATCACTTACACTCTCAGGTGACTTCAATATAAACTCCTGCAAGACCGGGACCCACATGTTACGAATTCACAAACACTATGATAACTTCATTTTGCTACCAACAGTAAAAAAACCCTCAAAGTTACAGAACTAGTGTTTCCCCCTACTTCCCCATCTGAACCAACCCCCAAATCCCCCTTAATTAAGATCGGGGCAAATCACAGATAAAACCAACCATTACCCTGCCTTCCAAAAACAAACCTTGGAAATTACCCTAGACACACTAAAGTCACTTTCAACTTCACAAGGGGCAGCCATTAATAACTTCACAGCGCAGGACAAACTTTTGACTGCCACTGACAGAATCTATACAGATATTGGCAATTTTAATTATAATTTTCAAAAAAATGACCCAAACCTCTAAACAACACCCCCCAAAAAAAACAAGCAGCAGCTAAGAACAAAGCACCTAACAAAAACATACAGAATGGGCCCACAAAAACCAAGACCAAACAAAACTTTTATCGTCAACCCAACCACCTAATAAAAGGGGCAAAAATTTGTATTAAAGAAGAGTTTATCCAACTACGAGGTGACAAAAAAAGACCGGGGAAAACCCAAATCAAAATTTTAGGAACAAAAAAAACATAATAGCGAAATTGAATTAAAACCAGAGAACCCCAATTCCCCCCTACTGAAACAGAAAACAACCAATATTCTTCTCCATATAGGAAAAAACCTTCCCAAATAAAACCCAAGCTCAGATACCCCACCCAATGACACCTCACGGGCAACTACCCGAACACACTTTCCAGCTCCGCAAACCCAACCAAAAGTATCCCTTTTTATCAACAAACTAAAAAACAAGACAGGAGATTTAAATACCTTACCCACCCATTTAACAAAAAAGTGTCACGGGTGCAATCACCAATCATTGCAACACTTTTTAAAAACCCATTGAACCCTACCTTTCCCTACATTCCAAAAAAGCGGGGTCCCCCCCAATCCAAAAGGAGGAAACCACACAGACTGAAAACATGGGCCCAAATACCAGCTTCCCCACCCTCTTCTAAAATCTTTGAAAAATTTAATCCATAAGCGTACTATTCCTACCTCATCCCCACAACAACCAACCCCTGTAAATTTTGGGGTTCAGCCTAATAAAAAAACTAATGATTTATATCCACATGCAAAACATTTTTATACAGCAAAAAGGTAAAAAGAAGTCCCTTTGGGGACCTCGTGACTTACGAAAGTTTTTCGAACAGTTGACAACGACTTGCTCCACAAAAAATTGTCCACTATTATAAGAGGCACTCCCTCAACTACCAAAAATCAACCCAGCAACAGAACCAATTTTGGGTACACAAATGGGGGCAAACCTTGCGCAAGCCAATACAGTTTGCCCCCACAGGGAAATGTCCTGGGCCCTCTCTTTTTCTCATATACAAAATGACCACCAAATCATCGCAACACTCAAACCCACACAAATTTGCAGATGACACACATACGTCTACTCTCACCCAGCCCAGTCATGCTACCAATACTGTAAATACCGAATTACAAAAAAATTTAACAGGATGAGGACCAACAAACTTACTCAAAACATTGAAAAAACCCTACACATTCATTTGGACAGAGCTGCAGATTGTCCTTAACATAATGAAAAAATGGATCACTTATAACAAAACTCACAGGGAAAATTCCTAGGAATCCGCCTTGATAAAGACTCAAATTTCAAACACATATACAACAAAATTTCCAAAAAAAAACCAAGACCCAGGCATACTATCGAAGAAACGGTACTATGTTCCACACACCTCCTGGGGCCCCCCCTCACCACTTATTTACCCCCACTCACCATGGGAAATTTTTGCGGGGCTCAAAAACAATAAACCATCTCCGACCACTAATTTCCCCCAAAAAAAGGCTGCAGCAGAATGATAACAAATTCCCACACAGGCAGCACACTCCACCAAATTCAGAACTCTAAAACCCACTCACAATACAAAACATCCATACTTATTACGCACCACACAACATAGAACACTTAACCGGACATAAACCCCCCCCCAAACATCCCTTACCAAACCCCAAAAAGAACACATGACCATAACACAAGGGGACAGATCACTCTTTGAGTTTCCCCGACCATCTCACTCTATGCAAAAACTCAATCCATAAAAGGCCCAAAATCTGGAAATTTTTACCTGTGAATATAAAAAAACCTGCTGTTTATAAATTCAAGTCTCTTCTCAAAAATCACTTACCACCACAACTAAAAAAAATACGAAAATTTTAACTCATAAAATTTTATCTCAATTTATCTCATTTTTGTATCTCAAAAATGTCAAACCCGTGACCCAATCAAAATTTTTTACTATTTAACTTTTTACCTAACAGAAACCCCTTCACTGATTACACACAACACAGTAAATGACCAATACCTGCTTGTAAACTCATTTGACTAAATTGTACGTTTTTCAATAATTTTTTTACCACTGAAAATATCATTGCTTTTTAAACTTAAATTAATTTTTAAGCCTGCCCCCTAAGCTCTGCAAACAAGGGGGGTTTGGGATCTGCACTTTAAAAATTTATTCCTTGTACTTCTCTGTATCATGTTCAAATTAATAAAAAAATAAACTCAAAGAACTCAAATGATGAAAAAAAAATTCAAGGGTTTCCCCTTTTTCCACAATACAGGCCCCATACATATATGAAATAAACATTCACAAAGTATGAATGAAAAAAACCGAAGAAAAAAACCCGTAAACCGCAGATTTGAGAAAAAATCCCTACCTATCACAGTTTAGTTAATTTAAAGTTTATTTTCACCCATACCCATCCTTGGGGGTAGTCAAAAAATTACAGAGGTACAAATGGTCCAGGGGGCTGAATCCAAAGTTTGATAGCTAGCAAGTTACAAAGGTAATGAACTCCAATTTACAAAGGTAATGAACTCCAGGTAGGGCTAGCACAATCATGACAAGTTCAAAAGGTTTTTTAGATTACCGAGGACTAAAGGGCCAGGGGTTGGCCACATTTTTAAAAAGATTTGCTATTGATTTCACTTTTTGCGCCTCGGCCAGGAACACATCTGTCACATAAAGTAAGGTCACAGTACTGTAACAAACTTTGGGAGCAGTTTTGAAGCAATAAAAGTAGATGCAAACTATCTGCGCAAACTTGCATTTACAAGGTTCCCTACTGCCCATCCTGAGATGCAGCTAAATCACCCAAGCACAGTCTCGTTTCAACTCGCATTGGTCGTATCTTTACCTTGTAGTTAGCCTGTTCGTGTAGTCATCTAAGGTATAAGGTTGATGCTTGGCGGGGGAAGGGAATGGGCCGAGTATGCAACACCCTGGGACATCTGCTCCCGGGACCTCGGGGGCGCTCACTCCAGCCTCCCCTGGGTTTTCCGACATCATCCCCCACCGGGGCACAGAACCAACTCCGACGTCACCCACTACTTTTTTTCTACATGCACTCCCAAAGACCACAAACACATCACTGAAAATGTAAGTATTTAATTTGTGTCAGTGCTTCATCCAAACTGACGGGGTGAGAGGCGCAAAGGAGGCAAGGGCTCAATACTGAACTGGGGAATATCAGGTGCAAAAAGAGAGACGTCGATCATATACCCCACGAATCTAGCCCTGTAGAAAAATATGAAGGGGTCCAATTTGCCCTCACTTTTGCAAAAATACTTTTCTCGACCCTAACATAAATGGAGAGTCCCCAAACCGACACAAAGGTCAAAAAAAGGGGGGACAAAAGAAAGAACCCATGAGTGACTTTACATGTAGAAAAGTTTCTCCGATAACAATCTTTGCAAGCTGCACGATCCTAGAAAGATTACAGTTTGCATAACCTCACCTCCTGTGTTTCATTGCACCTTTGAAGTTGATTGAAGTAGAAAGTTAAATAAATTTATTAATGCTTTGGGTACAAACACAATTTTTTACAATGGTCTTGAGGGCACACAGGTGTTTTAGGGACATGGGAATTATTAGTTATTTTTAAAACTTAAAGATACCCAATAAAGTCAAACCTGTGATTACGATGATCAAAGAGGAAAACTCCAGTTTTTTTTACAGTAAAAACAAATTTTATTAATAAAAATTTGGTTTTTAAATAAATTTCTAAACACCCCCCCATGAGGGTGACCCGAAAAGAAAAACACTTTCACCACATTCATACCAGTCATTGTCAACACTAAAAAAAATACAAACCATAAATCCTCCAGTTATTGTAAAGAATCCAAGAAACTTTTTTCATTCTCAATTTATCTTCACCCCCAGCAGGGTTCGAAACCGCACACCCGTATCTAAGTATTTGCCACACAGTCAACCCGCTGTGTGGGTTTTAAAAAATTTCGATTTTGATGCCTTATCGCACTTTTGTTGGGCCGTGAAAGTTCTTGTACACTCCCAGGTCGCAATGTCGCCAGCCTTGAAGGGGGGCCCTTTTGTACAGCAAAATTCCCGCCTAAGAGCACAAGCATTTTAAGAGAATCATCATGGGCTTGGCGTCCTAGTTTTGAAGGTTTTGAATCCTGCTTTCCTAAATTTAAAGTTGTAAATAATTTTTGCCTTTTTTTTTGAAATTTTTAACATACTCTAACTATAACCAAAAAATGTGGCTCCATTTCTTCCATCCATGAGTCATTAATCACTGATGTTAATCTGGAGTTTACCTGGAGAGGGTTTCGGGGGTCAACGCCCCCGCGGCTCGGTCTGAGACCGGGCCTCATGGTGGATCAGGGTCTGATCAACTAGGCTGTTACTGCTGGCCGCACGCAAGCTGACGTACGAACCACAGCCCGGTTGGTCAGGTACTGACTTTAGGTGCCTGTCCAGTGCCTTCTTGAAGACAGCCAGGAGCCTATTGCCAATACCCCTTATGTATGCTGGGAGGCATTTGAATAGTCTTGGGCCCCGGACACTCATTGTGTTGTCTTTCAGTGTACTCGTGGAGCCCCTGCTTTCCATCGGGAATGTTGCATCTCCTGCCGAGTCTTTTGCTTTCATATGGAGTGATTTTCGTGTGCAAGTTTGGTACCAATCCCTCCAGGACCTTCCAAGTGTATATTATCATGTATCTCTCTCGCCTGCGTTCGAGGGAGTACAGATCAAGGACTTTCAATCGTTTCCAGTAGTTTAGGTGCCTTATCGCACTTATGTGTGCCGTGAAAGTTCTTTGTACACTCTCCAGGTCTGCAATGTCGCCAGCCTTGAAGGGGGCCGTTAGTGTACAGCAGTATTCCAGCCTAGAGAGCACAAGCGATTTGAAGAGAATCATCATGGGCTTGGCGTCCCTAGTTTTGAAGGTTCTCATTATCCATCCTACCATTTTCCTAGCAGATGAGGTAGATACAATGTTGTGGTCTTTGAAGGCGAGATTCTCTGACATTATCACTCCCAGGTCCTTCACATTACTTTTCCGCTCTATTGTATGGTTAGAATTTGTGGTATACCCTGACACATTTTTAATTTCTTCAAATTTTCTGTATCTGAGTAGTTGAAATTTCTCCTCATTGAACTTCACATTGTTTTGAGTGGCCCATTCGAAGATTTGGTTTATGTCCGCTTGGAGTCTCGCGGTGTCTTCGATGGAGGTCACTGCCATGGTGATCCGAGTGTCATCTGCAAAGGAAGACACGGAGCTATGTCTTACATCTCTATGTCAGTAATGAGGATGAGGAATAGAATGGGAGTGAGTACTGTGCCTTGTGGAACAGAGCTTTTTTCCATGGCTGCCTGGGACTTTACTCTTTTTACTATTACTCTTTGTGTTCTATTTGTCAGGAAATTGTAGATCCATCTACCAACTTTTCTCGTTATTCCTTTATCCCGCATTTTGTGTGCTATTACACCATGGTCACACTTGTCATTGGTCTTCAGATGCATGATAGAACTGATGAATTGGCTAAGTTGTATGCTTTCAAAGAGGGAGTAAATTACATAATTGGGTTGTCAGTTAGCAGTTTGAGAGCAATTATACGAAAAGAACTTCAATTGAACTTTACTGACTTAAGACTCAGGGAGATTGGCCATTCTATCATGCAGGAGGAGCCACATGTCTGTGGTACATCCAACAAAATAAGCAGACTCTTGGATGTCACTACTGCTCGGCTCCGGCTGGGTTACAAGTATCTTTGGCAGGTTAAATCACCACCAACAGATGTAGACCAAACGAAATGTAAACTTTGCCAGATGGACTATTGTCACACCTTGCGTCATTATGTACTGGAGTGTGATCAAATTAATGAATTCAAAGACAACTCACTCAGAAATGTTCAAGAAATGTCAAAGTATTTTATCCACAGTGGTATATTACAGACCATTCTGGAGAATACTTGACTTGCTAG